GTCGATAAGTCGGCAAAAATATTGTGAATTGAATCGCACACAGAGGAACGCGCGTATATAGTCAAGCATAATATGTACGAAAAATATATTAACAAAATAATATGATTCTAAATGAAATGCAGATTTTTCATTATTCGGCGTTTAAAAAGCACGTTACGGGTACTTCCCGTACTAGAGATTTAACTATATCATGGTGACGTTTTACATCCTATGTTCATTGAGGTTTGTATGGATGTTACTTGGTTCGGGAGTGGGTAGGTTATTATTTGTAAATAAATGAATTAATACAGTACACACAATACAGTGATAAAGCAACTTTATGATGCAGAAGTTTTAAAACAAGTGGTAAAATTGAAAACTTTGTACAGCCGACTTCAATATAAATAAAATGAGAACATCATCAATGTAGCCGAAGTCAATTAAATATGCATTATTATGGATAACTCAAACACTTCTGGTCAGTTCTTGATGAAATTTATATGGGAGCACATGAGAAGTATCAAATTTCAAATAAAAAAAAATATTATCAAAATCGGTTCACCTAAAAAAAAGTAAGTAGTAGAGTCCTCCAGACCGAATTTAGGTCACGGCGGCCAGCCTCAACGGAGCCTAGCCATCGGCGCAGGACAGGATTATAATGCCCAAGTGTATGCGCAAGCACAGGTGCATTCTCAATTCCTTCACATTCATAATCCGATCGGACGGTAAACCGACACGACCGGAGAAAGATCAGGCGCGCGACCAACAGCTTTATGTGCTGTCCGAGGCACTGGGATGAGACACCGCCAACTTTCTGGCTCCGGGCAGCTATTGAGAATCACTATGGTGAAAAACTCAATAACTGGTATTTTTTGGTCCGACCCGGGATTCGAACCCGGGACTTCATGATCAGCAGTCGCATTTACAATCATTAGACCAACGAAACAGACCGTCTGAAGGCTATAGAGTCAGTATAATTACATACTGTGTAGCCTTCTTTGTTTGAAGTTGGTTGAAGGTATCCATAGACTGCAGTAGCCACTTACCATCAGGAGAATTGTGACGTTTGTGACTTCATTTTATACAGACGTCAAAAAGGAGACGATACTCAATTCGACTGTATGTTTTTTCTTTTTTTAATGTGTGTTACTTCATAACTTTTTTCTCGGTGAACATCGATGATTCTTTTTTTATTTGAAAGCCGGTGCTTCTCAAGTAGTCTCATATAAATTGATCAAGGTCTGACCAATAGGTTTTGAGTTATTATTAATAATTTATACTGAACAAAAATTTTAGTATTAATTAATTTTAGTTGTACAAAATTTTTAATTTTTAATTATTATATCTTATTTAAAAAAAAAATAAGCTTAGCCAATGTGAGATGTCTCATCACCATAGTAATAGAAATCAAGTCCATCGTCTCTCGACATATACGTCAGTTATACATCAACAAACAGAGTAAAATCACAACAACTCTTATTTAAACTTTGCTTCAAACGTAGTCATAGAAATAGAAATCTGATAAGCATTTAATTGTGCGATGTAAAAGCTTTAACAAAGAGTTTACCTTTTCTTAATAAGTTAAGTGTACAAAGGGACATGATCAAAATGAACGTAATATACTTAAAAAATAATATACTGACTACGACCAAATGCATTAATATTGTAATCGCAACAATAAAACAGCAGAGGTGCATGGAATTTTGTTTGTTCTTTATTTCAATTTGAATGATTTTTCTTCTCCGGCTACAAGATGCAAGAAGATAACCAGGGCCTTGTATAAATCATGGTAGCTCTCTTTGCTCTTCAGCAAATCTAAAGATTACAGTTCCTCAACATTTCACATCCCATTTTAGCAAATCCTTTACAGTACAGGCTGCACTACTCTGGAAATCATTGCCCGAGAACATTAGGAAAGCAGTCTTTTTTCAAAAGACTTTTTTCGTATATAATAGGGTTGATAAACGAGCACTCACCTCCACCTGGTGGTAAGTGGATGCCGTGGCCCATAGACATCTACATCTATTCTCAACTAAGCATCAAAATGCAGATGCGCTGTCGCTCCGTGAGGACTAAGATGGAATGCCTCGTTTCCAGTAATAAGGGTCTCCCGTTCTCTATACTAACCATACGAAATACAGCATAATTAAGCTGCTTTTTCACGCTGGCATTCTGTGAGACCGTTGTCCTTCCCCGGTCGAGCCATTTGTGCTACAACTATAACAGCTGCAGCGTGGCTCATATAAAATACTGGTATGAACACTTTCTAATGACGGCAGCATTAGAAGAAGAAAAAAAATTCATTTAATCGAGTAACTAGAAGGCATATTTGGCTACTGTTATCTACTTTTGACTAGGTTAAATTATAATTATATTATGGAGCCGTGGTAGCTCAGATGGTTAGCGCTCGCTGTAAGCTTCACAGTACTCGAGCAACCCGGGTTTGATCCCCGCCGGCACCAATGAAATTGTTAATTGCAATTTTAAGTGCTGATTTACCACGTGCTCGGCGGTGAAGAAAAACATCGTGAGGAAACCTACATGTTTTTTATAAGATATGGGTGACAAACGAGCACACAGTCCACCTGATGGTAAGTAGTTGCTGTGGCCCATAGACATCTACATCTATCTTCGATTACCAATCAAAATGCAGATGCGTTGTCACCCGTGAGGACTAAGACGGAATGCCTCATTTCCAGTAAAAAGGGTCTCCGGTTCTCTACACTCACCATACGAAACACAGCAGCGTTAAGCTGCTATTTTACGTTGGTATTCTGTGAGAGCGTGGTCCTTCCCTGGTCGAGCCGACCCATTCGTGCTGAAACTATACCAATAATATAGCTGCAGCATGGCTCTACCACGTGAATGTCTGAGAAATAACAAAAAAATATTTCGAAGACATGTGAAGTTCGCCAGCACGTTGGGGCAGCGCGGCGGACCTTTCCTTGCCCTAAAACCCTCTCAGAAATGAGAGGAGGCCTGTGACCAGCAGTGGGACATAAATAGGCTGCGACTTTACTTTACTTTATATATATATATATATATATATACATATATATAAAAAGTATATTATATATATATATATATATATATATATATATATATATATATATATATATATACATATATATAAAAAGTATATTATTACATTTATATGTGCGACTTTCTCATCATCACACCCGCTATGGCATAACAATGGCCCATGAATACGCAGTCTAGTCTGCTCGCGATCATTTTCAGGATCATTAATTTAAACTTTATTTGAATAATATACCTCTGTCAATGTAGGTACTATTTATGTATTTATTTGTTTGTATTCATTAAATGAATATACTTTTAACATAAATGACATTAGTAAAGTCCACCAGATAGTAAGTGATTACTGCAGTCCGTGGACACCTGCAAACAACTTAATGTAAAGAAAGGCTACAAATGTGTTTTCACCGCTAAGGATTAAGATAGAATGTCTCACAGCCCGTAATTTTACTGACTCTCTTTACCTATATATTAATTTTTAAACTGACTTTTTATATGTTTATACTAGTTGTTCCTCGCGACTTCGCTCGCGTGTTAGGGTTTTTATGTTTTTGCGCGGAACCCTAATTCTTTTTCTAAAATAAAAGTAGCCTAAGTTACTCCTTATGGAATCAGCTACCTACCAGTGAAAGTCCCGTCAAAATCGGTCCAGCCGTTTCGGAGATTAGCCGGAACAAAAAAAAAGACAGACAGACAAAAATTTTAAAAATTGTGTTTTTGTTATAAGTACCGTATATACTTTCATATGCAATTAGTAAAAAGCTGTAATTTTGACATTACAAACAGACACTTCAATTTTATTTATTTGTATAGATATAGATTATCTATACATCTATACATTTAAATAAAATTGAAGTGTCTGTCTGTAATAGCGACGTAACTGCCTTTTAATGAGCTCAGGGGCTATTTGCATGCCAGTAAGTCACGGATAACCATTCTTATATTTTAAATTATCTGAAATTTAAATGATGACATAAATAAAATTAGTAGATACCACACAGGCGAACCCCGGGCGGGTCGCTAGTATATTATATTATATTAATCAAGGCCTTAGGTGTTGGTAGCACTTTATTTTTATACAAAATGATTTCACAAGCATAGAATGTCGGCTGAAATTAAGTCCTCCCATTGTTCCTTATTTTATAGTGTATTAAATAAAGTACTTGCATTAAAAATAAAAGAAAACGTATCTACTCTTCCCAAAGATTTGCACTACAAAATATTACGTAAAATAATCGTACTAAAATATATATTCTTTTGAATGTGATTACAAGGTAAAACTAGACATTGTCCTCTTATTGAAATTAAAAATAAATATCTTATACGGTCGTGCTTATTTACCATACGAAAAATAACCGCAGTTTATTTTTATTTTTAGTCGTTATTAGGAAGATTCTGCTGCCCATCTGATTTGTTTCACTCTGTCGCCTTTTAGACACCCACGGGATGATATTTTGTAGTGGATATTTTTACACCGCCACTACACGGTAAGCTATTAACTAAGTAATTACTTAATAGCTACTGTTTTAAATCGAACGTTGAAGTTGTTTAGAAAACTATTAACTGCAATAAAATATAAAGGACCATTCTTAAGTTAAACGTCGTTATTTAACGGCTCGCAGTAAGAGCCATTGTATATTTTTATTAACCGTGAATCAACAGGGTAGACGGAGCGGAGGTGAACGAATAAATAACATTCAAAATGTACTTTTTCTAATATAAAATGCACAAAAAGAAATGCCTTCAACGGCAGAGCTTTCGTCGACGATCGTCGCAGTTCACCCGAGCTCGGACCGCTTCGGAAATGTTCGAAAACGGTGACGAATTAAGATCACAACATTTAACCTCCTCTTACTCATAGGATGCGTTATATGCGAGAAGGAGTGAGTCATCTCAACAGCGTTGTTGCCATTGTGTCTATTTTCATTCGAATTCCCGGCCGAGGTTTGATATTTTCCCGTAGGCTTCAGCTCACTCCAGCCTTCAGTCGTCTGAAAGCTTCCGCGGTGAATCTGTATTTTGTTCGTGCTCATCTTATATTAAATGGAGTGATTAAGTAACCACTATTCGAGCGATCGTGACGCTGAGTGTTGTTTAATATTTCAATAAAGGAAGTGTCTTATAAATGTGTTTCTCGTAATAGTGTAAAGTTAGAAATGATTAAGTGTGACTAAAAACTAAATGAGCGATTGTACTGAGAGGTCTGGTTAAGTGATTAAAGCTCTGTAAGTATTTCCTTTATGAATAACATTGTATTGATTAGTGTTTGAATATATTTTCTCGAAGGACGTAAGTAGGTAAGTGCTGAGATAAAGGTTATGACCCTAGCTTGGCCCTGCCTGGGAGAGACCGCGTGACGTTACCTAACAGCCTCCGGAATAAATTACTTACTCTTTTCAATTGTACTTTCACCTTAACACTTTTGCATTATTTTTATATATTCCAGTTATATTTAAATACAAAAACGAACTAATCAAACAATTAAATGGCAATTATGCGAATGGGCCTAGCTAGCTGTGGGACTTTAATAAAGTTTTATTTTTATACATATAATAATTAATGTAAAACAAAAACTAAGAAATTATTTTGATTTACTAATTTTAATTGTTTTAATCACAGTCGATAGGAAGTAAATATGAGGAAAAATAATATGGAATCGTGAATTACTAATTGCGGTTTGCGTTTGTTAAAACACATAGGTACATGTATGTATGTTTGTTTGGACCGAAAGTTTAAAATTGAGAATTATTCATTTAAAATATTCACATAATTAGCAACCAAATATATTTTATAAATAGCTAATTAAATTAAATAAATTGAAAGAAAGGAACATTTCATGGGTTGGTGGTGTTTAACTACATTTTTTAACATGAATACATTAAATATGTACATGATACTCATTACTACTTATGCATTTAATTGGTGTCTTCAAGTTCTCTTTTGACTGTTAAATAAAAAGCAAAATTAAAAAAAAAAACTTGAAAAAACTCACAACGGATGCAAAAGCTGTAATCGAAAAAGGATTAAATAAAATTTTTGAACACCCCCCCGACTAAAATGAAGTAAGTCCCGAAAGATAAAAATAAAAAGCGTTTTAAAATGGGTCTATTTGTCGTGAGGTCTGTCATAAAAAACAACTAATTATGACTTTAGGCCACAGCATCCACTTACCATCAGGTGGACTGTGTGCTCTTTTGTCACCTTTACTCTATAAAAAAATATCCCAACTTACAACTCGTCAATGTATTGAATCAGGCAATGTTAACCAATCTAACAACGAAAATGTACGCGATAAATGCCAGAGATGAGTCCAGGGAACCCACGGGAACAACTATGGACAGAGACCTCCAACTGCTGCTATTCTAGTGGACCCAAATAACACATGAAGTTGGGTATGGGTAAACGAGTGACGTTAAGAATGAACATCAAGGTCAGTGAAGGATTAGTCAATGGCAGTATGGGAGTACTTCGGGGTTTTCAGTGGGAAAGGTTAAGAAGAGTCCATTTGGAAAATGGAGAGCTGACAAAAAAATCCTAATTCAATTATCATCGCTTTATCGCCAGAAGTTACCATGATGAAAATGGTTGGGTAGGCATAACTCCATTTAGTGTATCTTTCAAGGCATCAAAGGTGCCGACAAAAAAGAAAGGGCTATGATTCTACTCATATAAAGTTGGGCATTTACAGTGCATACATTGCAAAGCACTACAGTCTATAAGGCGGTCATAAATCTTAGACCCAAAACATCCACCCAAGGGCAAACTTAGGTGATTCTTTTTAGACTACGATGTTTAGATAGCGCAGTAGTTACTGATTTAAATCAAAGAAAGCTCTTTAACAATCCGCATAAAAGCGTAGCTTTAGTGCGATTGAGAAGCATGTTGCGCGGGTCATAAATCGAGGAAGCCGAAGAAAGGCCGCAGAGCTGTTTTTGATCTAGATCTGTTATTATGGCATTAACATAGTGATTACTCTATGAATCCAAATATTCTATGTGATATCAATCACCTCGGTCAAAACATTTTGGAGATAAATGGGAACATTCGTTTGCAGAAATATATTTATTGCAGCGCCTTTTGGTGTGTAAACACCATAACATTTATCTAAAAACTATGGCCTATTAATCACACACCATTTACAGTAAACCGTACCTATCTAAATCAGTCGGACCGTTTTGGAGATAAATGTGAACATTCGTTTGCACACACAAATAACCTCTCACCCTAAACACATATACATACATACCTTCTCCGTTCCGTCGTGAGTGAAAACAGAAGAAAGCGAGTGCACTGTGCGTAATATTTTAATTACTAATTACGAATAAAAAAAAACTGTTATACCAGGACAACCTCCTGGTATAAAAGGCTTTTTAAAGTGCTGTAAAGTGCCCAAAAAAAATCAAAAAACCAAGGTTCTATCTATTCGTATATATTTGAGTGGTTTTCGATTGTTTTATTAAAGTATAGATATAATAAGTAGTAAGAAATGTTTCTAACTCACTTCTCTTAAACATCTTTTAGCCTGCTAATGACTGACAGCATCGCAATATAGTCGTTCGTCACCCTCACGGTGATCGGCGATTGGTTGTGTGGTTGGAGTTTTACCAACTTTATTAGTCTAAACCTTATTGCGTAGCGGCGGGTTCAGCATACTCATTTTAGAAGGTGGTCACTTGTTTTTTTTTAACGGCAATGGGAAGCAGCGTCAAATGTGCTAGACGGCTGGTACTACGGTCGTCAAAGTACCTGCCAAGCGTGACGATTGACGCAAATCTTTCATTCTACGGCAGTGGAATTTTACGGGCTGGTGATGATGATGACGTTACTCAGGACATTAATATAAGAGAGTGTACTCGTATTTGTCACGTACGCCGAAGTCCCTACTCCGCTGCACGCTTGAACAGGTAACCACTCGGTTTCTTCTCTCACCGTAAGTCATAGAAATAGCACTTAGAAAGTAAATGATTTTGACTTTAGCCGTGTAGTGGCGGCGTAAAAATACACTACCCTATATCATCCCGTGAGTGGCGTAAGAAGCGGCAGAGGGATATTGCAAAAGGAGATAGCCCTATAGATTGCCTCATAAGGAGGAAATTGCCATAATTGTCACGCTTATCAGGCGTGTTGGCAACAGTAGTTTTTAATAATTTCGAGTTGTCACAAGGAAGATGCTGCTGCCATCTACTGTCGCAGTTTCCCTCTGTCATGGATGTCGTAAGAAGACGATATCCACGGTAGGATACGGAATGTTAGTGGATATGCTTACGCTGCTATTACACAGCGTGTATTGTAACTCTCAAACATTAATACTGTATATATCAATGCTGTTCTGACCCACGTCGATTAGGTGCTTTGTTCACATCAAATTCTCAGCCTATCGTGGTGAACTCAAGCAGCGTTTATAAGAAATGCACGCGTATTGCGATTGCGATTTACATTGGTAAAGCATTGCGCGTATTGAGAAAAGTCCTGAAAGGTGGACCTGAAAGGCTGAATAATAAGATATGTTTTATAACTGCTTGGCCTAAGAGTTACTGGGAGAGAATGCCCATTGAAATCAATAGTCCGTCATATATACTACTTTGTGCATGAAAGTGTTACTGATATACGTGGTAGAGCCATGCTGCAGCTATATTAATAGTATAGTTGTAGCACGAATGGGTCGGCTCGACCGGGGAAGGAGCGTGTCTCACAGAATACCAGAGTAAAATAACAGAGAAACGAGGCATTTCATCTTAGTTCTCACGGGTGACAACGCATCTGCATTTTGATTCGTTATCGAAGATAGATGTAGATGTCTATGGACCATAGCAACCACTTACAATCAGGTGGACTGTGTGCTCGTTTGTCACCCATATTCTATAAAAAAAAATATAAATAAAATAAACAAATGACAATTATTGATTTCTTTTCTTTCTTCCTTTCATGTACAAAACACTCATATCGTCATAATATTTAATCAACGCAGGACAAATTAAAATAAAAAACTTTTTATAGGAGCCTTCACTCCTTAAAGTCTACATAAGCAAGATATTATGTCTCTAAAGAAGGCTCGGCAGCGCATTGGCTAATATCGTTTGGCTACGGCGTTCCTGGCCGCGGGTTCAATTCCCATACGGAGTGAGTATTTGTATGGTATAGAAATAATTGTTCTGGATTTCTGTCTGTGTGCAATTAATCTTTCCACAAAACAGGATGCCTCTTATTTCATCATCATCATCATTACAATCCATTACAATTCTACAAAGCACGGTCATTACACCATCTAGTGGCGGCCACCCTACACTTTATTTATATGAGGCTGAGTCAAGAACTTTTACCACCGGTTTTCAATTTTTCGAGGTACAATTTGCCCAGCCCATTGCTATTTCAGCATACTGATTCGTTGGGTGGGATGAAACGGTGGACCGAAATAACCGATATAGTCGAACGAATCGGCGGATTTAATTTCTAATTAGGGAGTAACTGTTTTAAGAAAACAACACAATTGTGAATATTCGAAAAAATAATTTATTCATTAAAGCAAGGTTCACTTGCTGCGTTAAAAACAGAGGGATTTACACTACAATCAAAATTTGGGGCCAACATTCGAACCAGATCTTATAGCTTCTAATAGTTGGTTCTATAACCATCTCACGTTCACGCCAGACAAAATCCCAGATCAGTGACGGGTAGTGCGGGCAAATCTTCCCTACAGCGGGGAGGTCCATATCCAGCAGTGGACTATTACCACCATTTTTTTTGAGTTGCTACTAGGCAGTTTGTTGTGGTTGGCAACCACAGTTGTTATCAGGAAGTTGCTGCTGCCCATCTCTTGTTTCACTTAAAGTCGCCTCTTACGACACCCACTGGATGAAATAGGGTGATTGATTCGCTTACGCTGTCATCACACTCACGAAGCAAACACACTGCACTGTGTATATTCTGTGTTTCCCTTTATTGAAACCACATAATGAATTGTCAAGTTCATTTCAATCTCTATAATTGAACGAGTCATTAACAATTAGTGTTAATAAAAGGAACAGGATTGCGTCTAATGTTCACGAGTTCACGACAATAACAGAGGCAAGTTTTTATGTGGCATATAATCTGTGAGAACTGATATAAAAAATAATGACGTGAATATTTTGTTTGAAGTACAACAAAGTTGTTGTTTCGTTGTAAGATTATAATATCTCCTATTTCTCATCCATGAGCGTAAAAGACAACTAAAAGTAATACTATA